GTAAAATATTTTATTTTGTAAATATATTATTGAAAATGAATATAAAAATTAAAGAGCTTCGAAATAATAGTTGTCAAACATGGACTAAAGTAAACTACTTAATGTGTAATGTTAGTTTTCAAATTGAACCATGTTACCATAACAATATTTGGCTCATTTGATAGCCCATAATTAATCATCTATATTAAACTCGAAAAAGAAGAAATGAATAAGCTCGAACTAAGTTAGAATCGGTAAAGAGACTATAGTTAAATGAATTTTTTAAGTAGTCAATTATTTAGCAGAGATATAATTGTGAATTATACCATGTAGTTTCTTTCATTTTGAGGCCCTTTAAAATTTAAGACCCTAAATCATTGCCTAGTTGTCTCTAGCCTAGGGCCGCACTGCCCATTTATCCGAGAGAAAAATACATAACTATCAATCTTTAAAGATACACTTTCAAATTTGACAAACTGATTGAATTCTTTTAAAAATCAAATGGTATTAATTAAATACATTTTATTAATTAAATAGGTTAAAGTCACAATAACATACAATTTATGATCACAGTTACGTATTAATCACTTATAGTTAACACCACAAAAAAATGTGTCAAAGTCTCATATCAAAATCCCATCACCCCTACCCCCACCTCGAACAACAACCACCATCACCTCACCGCTATAGCAATCACATCACCACAATAGATCATACCAACCATTACCACCACTGCTTGCACCTTACCCCAAATCCACCGCACTAGCATCATCACCACACTGCACCACCATACTAGCACCGTCACTACAACACCACTACATATACAACAACCCACCACACGGATTCGTACATACCATCGTATACACATTACACACCACCAAACAACTTAGGCTTTGGTTTGATGAAGGAGAGAGAAGTGGCGGCGGTAGTGGTGACGAAGGAGGCGGCATCAGTGCGAGAGATGGAGAAGAAGATAATGAAAGGCAAGACAGTCGTTGTAGCTGCGAAGAGCCGCCGCCTAACTATGGAATGAAGCTGTTGGAGAAGTGGAACGAAGCAGCAGTTGGAGGAGATTCAACCTTTGAGTTTGGGAGAATAAATTAGGGTTAGGTTGGGGACGGGTTGGATACACCTGATTTTTGAAAAAAAATAAATTGTACTTGATAGGTGAAATGGGAAGTTGAAAAATACGAGTTAATTGTTTCAATAATCACGTAACTTATACGTAATCACGGTTTACTTACTAAACTTCAAAATGCTTTACAATGCTTACTGAACTTTGCCAATTTGCACTACATCCATCATCCTAAAAAATTCATTGCCTTATTCGCTAAAGTGGTTAATGAAAATCTGACAGACAAGTTACGACCGTTAAAAAAGAAAATTGCAATTCAGTCAAACCATTGTTTCATTACTCATCCAACTTACACTTGGTTACATTTTACTCATCAAACTTTAAAATGCTTGTAATAAAGACATAGTCGATTGTTGAGAATAATGTGAGGAGCTACTACTTGTAAAGCCCTATCCCCCAATTGTACCATTTGCTCAACGTCTCTCTCATCCCAATATTTTATTTTTTGTAGGCGTGTATCCAACTACTTAAGGAAGAAAATGTCATTGAACTCTAGCCAAATTGATAAACGAAGAACAACAAATACAAACATAGTCTAGAAGGTATTCCGGTCGTACACCAACCATTGTAGTTTGATGACACTTCCTTTCTCAGATGGTTGGATACACGCCTGCAAAAATGAAAGATTGGGGTGAGAGAGACGTTGAGTAGATAGTACAATGAAATATGACTTTATTAGTAGTAACTTCGCACATCCTTTTCAATAATCGACTATGTCTTGTTACACAATTTAGTCGTATGAGGGTTTGACTAGTGATTTGGGGCTATGGTTTTTTAGATCTTATATTGGGAACGCTTTATTAGGTTTTAAAGAAGTTTATGGGGTCGAAGAAGTCGCATTTCACACATAGCGATTAGGTGATTTGATGGTTTGACGGAGTTATAATTTTTTTAATAATTGCAACTTGCCATATGAAATTTCCGTGCGATATATTAGCAACGAAAGGAACAAAAAATGGCGGATGATGGATAGAGTGCAATATCTTAAAGATGAGTGACCATCGGAAAGCATTTTGAAGTTTAATGAGTGCACTGAGGTTAGTTAAGTTGGATGAGTAATGAAACAATAATTTGACTGATTTGTAATTTTTTTAACTGCAGTAACTTGCCACATCAGATTTCCATTAGCCACGTTAATAAGATAACGGATTTTTGAGGATGATGGATGTAGTGCTAAAAGACAAAGTACGGTGAGTATTGTGAAGCACTTTGAAGTATAGTGAGTAACCCTGTGACTATGATATAAGTTAGGTGATTATTGAAACAATTAACTCGGAAAATATGTGTATGTAATATCCTCTTCAAAAATTTATTTTTCTCCAAACTTATTCAATCATACATTTTATGAGATACAACTTGAAATCACATATCTTATCAAATTTTGTTAAAATATATTAAAAATCTGATTTTAATTTTCATAAAACAAGGGCTAACCTATTTGCATGACTTCTTATCGATAGTTAATATTAATATTTGAAAATTAGCCTTTGTTTTATCTCCATTTGAAGAATGTATTTTTCTTGACAAAAACGGGGCTCACACAATCCCTTAATTTAAGAAGGATTGACTTCTATAATGTGTTGAAATAATTAGCCCTAGCTTGATGTCTATTATTTTTTTTATAAAAAGAGAGAGAGAGTGTGTGTGTGAGAGAGAGATTTGAATAATATTTTTAGGAGAACGTAAGATTAAAAAATAGAAAAAAATTATGAATTTACGTGCAGAATATTTTAGAGGAAATTACACAAAATCAGAATTTTAAAGTTACAATTTCAAAATTCAGATATGAACTTTATTTATACAAAAATCAGATATTAATTTATCTATTTCATCTACCTTCTTTCTCTAAATCATAATTACTCAAACATAACCCTAATTTTATCTTCTTCCCTTCCTTTCTCTCTCTCTCTTCACCTCGAAAGAAATGGTCGTCGCAGTTGCTTTCTTCGTCGCCAGTTCTGTATTCCGGTCATCTTCCGTTCATAGCACCGCCGCTAGGTTCAGCTCCCAAGCGGAGGCTGTTCTCTTCCCCTTCTGCCTTCCTTCCAGGAACCCCCTGGCTCACCACATCTTCAGGTGTCCAGCTGAGATGAGTTCGTGTGTGGGGTCAATGCTACCCTACCACATCACTACTGCCTCAGTTTTGATGACATCGATGCTCACTGCCTCTCGCTGCGGTTACAATTGGCTTTTCGAAGATATCTAGCAACACCTGTAGAGTGGTGATGGCGATGGTAGAGGCGGAGTTAGTTCCCGACGGCATATTTGGGTATTTTTTTGGTGAGGGTTATGGTTTTGGAGTGGTAGGCTGGTGGTGGTGGTGGTTTTAGTGTTGAGATAATGGTTTTGCTACCGGTGGTGTCGATGTCAGTGGTGGTATAAATTTTTTTGTTTGTTGCATTTGTTGTTGGTGGTGGTGTCAATGTTAGTGGTGGTTGCTAGTTGTGGTTGTGGGGTGGTCATTGCAGTGTCAGTGGTGGTGCAACTGTTGTTGTGGATTTGATTTGTTGATTTTTTTGGGGGACGGTGGCAACGATTTTGTTGGATATTGTTGGTGGTGGTGGTGAGGTGGTAGTTGTGGTGGTGAGGTGATGGTGGTGATTTTGAAGTGGAAAATGGTAGTTGTTGGAGGTGGTGGTGCATGGTGAATTGGGGTAGGGAGTAAAACCAATTATTTGAGATTGTGACCAATTATTTGAGATTGTGACCATTAATTTGAGTATTCTGTAACTAAAAAATAACATGTGACCGATAAATTGTGACCAATAAATAATACGAGACCTAAGAATTTAAATTACTTATGAAATTTGTGATTTATGACTGATAAATGAATTTGTAACCAAATTGTATAAAATTGCGACCAAGTTGTGACATATAATTTTTTTTATTTGTAACCGATGAGCAAATTGTGACCTATAGAATTTTTGATTTGTGACCGTAAAATAATTTGTGACTTATAAAATTTCTAATTTGTGACCGATGAATAAATTGTGACATATAAAATGATTTGTGACCGTAAAATAATTTGTGACGTTTCAATTTTTTATTTGTGACCGATGAATAAATCATGACATAAAATTTTTGAATCGTGACCGTAAAATAATTTGTGACATGCAAAATTTGTGATTTGTGACAAATTAATACTACGTGACCAATTATATAGAATTTGTGACCAAATTATATGGAATTGTGACATTAATATATTTAATTAATAAAATTTAAAAATATCTGAAATTTGAAATTTTAAACTTAAGTTCATTTGAAATTAGTAAAATTAAACATCTTAATTATGTATTGTTCCCAATATCTTATTGTGTGAATATGTAGTTGAAAATTATCCTATAAAAAAGAGAGTTTTAGAACAAGAATCATTCTACAGCAATATATTGATGGATATAATGTCACGTGATATATTATTATTCCGCCGTTCTGAACACACGCAACATCCTTATCAAGTCATCTATTGTTAATTGAGTAATTATAATTTTTAGCAAAATCTTTAGAACAATGGACACAAAACTGGGACTCAGATGACACTAGAGAAAATCCAAAGTCGGTTCACCAATTATTTTTTAATTTTCGTACAACTTTATTACCAATTTCCTATTGGTTTATCAAAAGCCACATAAAAAAGGCAACCAAAAAATTCAAAAGAAAAGCTTGATGAGTAAGCTAATAGAATTCATCCCACGAAATTCACCGTCATTGCCTCACTGCATATAACTTTCCACCAGCACTAAACCCCCACTGAAAATTCATCCCTTTTGCTGGTCGGACTTCACAATTCTCTCTCTAAAATAAAAATCTCATTTCTCGCGAGAGCTTCCTTTTGCTCTCTCAATCGAATTATCATATTCTAATGAACAATTGTTATTATTGATTGAAAATGGCGGAGGATATCGTAGCACTCGTTAACGCTCTATCGTCTGATGATCTATCTATCAAACTCCGGTCCGTTGAGTCGGCGTCTTTGATCAAACTAGGATTTAAAAAACTCTTCTCGATTCTCAAACAATCGGTCAAACCGATTGATTATGAGAACAGTACGGGAGACCGTAAACTAGGGCTAGAAGTTTTGGATCAAGCTCAGATTCACGCCTTGGCTTCTGTCTCGCTTGCCGTTGTTAATGCTTCGAGATTGTTACCAAGTATTTTACTCGTTTTTTGAGTTGAAAGCGATCGATTTAAACCTGTTTTTAGGTGTGGAATTGATTGTGTATAATCTTATTTATTTTAAATGGCAGTTGAGCAAGTGGAGCCAGTAGTGGTAGCGGTGCTTCAACAGTCGATTGAGTTTGCGCTGTGTTATTTGGAGAAATCCGTCCGCAACAGTGATGATTCGAGTCTTCACGTTAGTATTTCCTTTGAGCATGGTGTTTTCTGCCCGTCTTTATTGTTATTTGCTTTGTTTAACTTGTTCTTTCGACTCATGGCCGACTGTTGCCCTACCTTGGTTGGCAGATTCTGCTGTGTTTTATCAATAGTGATTTTCAATTATATTTCAAAGTTACCTACTTAAATACTTCTAAACGCTCTGGAATTACAATTGTTTTCTGTCGTAGAGATTCAACCAATATGAATTATGATTGTTTTTGAGAGTGATGATCGGACAGTTTCTGATTTTTCACATGCATCCAAAACCTAGTATTCCTTTAAGATTTGGTGATGGGATTTGAAATCCCCAAGGGTTTCTTAACTTTGCCACACAAAAGTAATCAGCTGTTCTTTTATCTGAAAAGGTGCATTCTTTTATCTGTTTTGCATTAATTTTTGCCTCAGTTTCAAAGATGTGCAGTTTACTTGAAAACGTGTTAACCTTGTTCGTGCAGTTAGTTTTACCACTTCTGCAGCTATTCTTTGGCCTTTTGTGTTTGGACTTTGCATTAAATCCCAATTCATTTTAGATGTGTTTTCTATGTGTATCTCCCAGATATACTGCTTTTGCTTCCATCTGACATTTGTTTCTCTTTCAGAACATTATGGTACAGCTGTTGGAGGTACTATTAGTAGATTCAATGGATAAGGAGTTGGATCTGTCACAGTCTTGCTCTACAAAAATTCTTGTGGACTTGTTACCGAACGTTGTTGATCAAGATGATACAATTGAGTGGCATGACTATGTGAAGTGCTTGCTTCAAGGTATTCCTCAAAAGTAGCATACCAATTCTTTTTTCTTTGCCTTGAATCTTTATATTTTCTAATTTTTATTTTTGTCTAAAAAGGGGATAAATGCTCCAAGGAATTGGGAGCAGATGATTGCCTTGTAATGACATTGGTTTCTGAGCGCATGCAAGTCTTTAATACGAATTCACTTAGTGGACAGTCTTTTCACGGCAGTCTTAATAAGGTCATTACACTCTCTCAGCATTGGGCTACAGTTCATTTGAGATGCATCCAACATCTTATTTTAATCTGTAGACAGCTTTTAGAACTCCCCCATTCATTTGATGAGAAAACAGAATCTCTCAATTTGCGGAAGAGATTGTCTTTTTGTGTGAGAATATTCAAGTTACTGGGAAGTCTTGTGAAAGATAATCCATGTGTTGACACTGATGGCTCATTGTTGCGAGCCGCTGCTTCCTTTATTGATATATTGCCTAGTTTGTTCAGGATTAGTATTGAGTTTGCAAACAACAATGCTGTTGCTGAAAGTAGCCCTGAGAGTTTGGCCGTGCTATTGTTGGAAGAATTTCTCGAAGTCACGGGGGTAATTTTCTGCAGGAATTACGTGTTTCAGAACATGCAAGCATGCATAATAGCTTCCATATTGGATGCACTGGATTCTAACGTCTGGAGGTACAATAAATCTGTTGCTAATCCTAAGGTCCCTTTGGCTTACTTTCCTCGGGTGGTTGTTTGTATTCTTAAACTCATTGTGGATTTGAAGAACCAACCATATCATAATTTCAATTTGAATGAGCTGAAGATAGGTCAAACTGATAGTCGTGCTGGTGTCGATTCTCCTTCATGCCAAGTTCGATCTGAGGAACTTTTTCTGCTGAAAAAATACTCTATCGAGGAGTTGCTAAGGACGATATTCCCTCCTTCAAGTCAGTGGCTAGATAATCTGATGCATCTTGTTGTCTTCTTTCATTATGAGGGTGTTAAAATGAAACCACTTTTGGAAAGATCGTGTTCCAGTGGTACAAAAACATCTGTCATGTATGAAGCAGAAAATGCTGTTTGTCATGAAGATGAAGCCCTTTTTGGCGATCTTTTCTCTGAAGGTGGCCGCTCTGTTGGATCTGCAGATGGGCTTGAACAATCTAATGCTGCCGCTAGTTCTAGTTCCAGTTTCAATAACATTCCAGTTCAATCTGCAACAGAATTACTAAACTTTCTGAAAAGTTGTGTTTTTTCTCCTGAATGGCATTCTCCAGTGTATGAAGACGCATGCAAAAAGATTGACGAGAACCATGTTGATACATTGCTTTCTGTACTTAATTGTCAGGGCTGTTATTCTGAAGATAAAACTTGTGACAATGGGCTAACTCCACCTGAACAGAGGAAATTTGGGCACGTCCATGAACTGTGCTTTGAACTATTGCACAACCTCCTTTCACACCAAGCTTTATCTGAGTCTCTTGAAGAGTCTATTGTTGAGAAGATATTGATTGTTGAGAATGGTGCCTATATATACAATGATCAGACACTTGCTTTGCTTGCCCATGTTCTTTTGTGCCGCTCGGGTTCAGCTGGTACTCACTTAAGGACCAAAATCTACAAGATATTTGTAGATTTTATCCATGGTAAGGCAAAAACAGTTGGTTCAGGCTGTCCTGGCCTCAAGGAACTCCTTGACGATCTTCCATCTCCATTTCACATTGAGATTCTTCTAGTGGCATTTCATTTTTCATCTGAAGAGGAGAAGGCTGAGCTTGCAAAGACAATATTTTCTTCACTTAGATCAATTGAGATTCCCTCTGCAGGTTTTGACAGCATGCAGTTGTCATGCTGGGCTTTAGTGATTTCAAGGTTGGTTTTAGTACTTCGTCATATGATTTATCATCCACGCGCTTGTCCGTCATCATTGCTTTTGGACTTCAGAGCCAAATTAAGGGAAGCCCGGGAGTTACACATGCCTAATAATCTAAGTTACCTGTCATCTTGGACTGCTGCTATGTTCAAGGATGCAACAAGTGTGTCGGTAAAAGAAACACCTGGCAACATTTTGCTTTATCAATTGATTGATATTGCACCACTTCCTGCTTCAGTATGTAGAGATCATCCTGGAGTTGATTGCTTGGGTTTAATTTGGGGGGAGATATGTACCTCTTTTTCATGGATTCTTGGATTTTGGAAGGGCAAAAAAGCTGTGAAGGCAGAGGACCTCATTACTGAACGGTATCTTTTTGTGCTTTGCTGGGATATTCCAATTCTTGAACCTTCTCAAGAAAAGTGGCGAGCTCGCTTCAGTGACCCTAATGTTTCAGATATTTTAAATATGGAACATTTTCATTATTTTAGTCATTCAGTCTTGGGTCACTCTGCTACTACCGGCAAGTATTCTGATATTCCAGATGTGATGTTGGGTTTGCTTCAGCACTTGAATGCTCTGCTCACATCTGAGGATGTCAGGGAACTAGGCTGGGATTTTCTGAGGTGTGGGTCTTGGCTCTCTTTTGTACTCGCATTACTTGGTACTGGCTTCTTGGAGCACCACAAGAAGTTGGATTCTATGCCGATGGTGAGTTCCAATTGGCCTGTGTACACATCTGGAGATGCTGAGTTTTTTGATTTCAGTAAAGGCCTCATTTCCAATGCCTTCACAGTAAATCAACTTGCAGTGGTAGTTCATATATTGTCATCTTTGTTGAAGCAATACTTGGGATTCTATCAAGGAGCTTTTACTTCAATCTTCGAGAATGGCCCTCACTCTAGTGATACACTTTCTCCTCTGTTGCTTCTCAAATATGCTGGTTTTGACAAAAGTATGCAGGACGAATTCCTTGAGAAAATGGGGATCAATCCATGTCAGTTGGAGTCTTTATATGAGCTTCTGTCCAAGTCTGGCAGAACTGTTGACAAAATGGCTGTAGGAATTCGGTCTAAAGTCTTCTGGGAATTTGTATTGCATGGGTTTCCCTTTCAACTTCGAGTTCCCAGTGAAATTTTATCTTCTTGCATTCTAAATATCAGTGGAATAGTTAATGTTCTAGATGGACTGCTGAACATCAAGGAATCTAGAGGAATCATTTGGGAGAAAACAGATGTTATCAGATCAATTCTTGAATCAATCTTGACAATTAAGTGTGACAAGGTATTTGAAAGCCTCAGCGGAAAATGTGAAGCCATTTACCAAAACTTGAGTGAGGTCTTCATAGGGGTTGACTATAGCAGCTTGTTCATTATGAAGCGCATGGAAGAATATTTTCAAAGTGTCTATAAAGGAAAAGATGTTGATAGCAGTATCCACGAATGTATGGTTACAAAGATGATTGATGTTGTTAACAGCCTGAGAAGAGATCCTTCGAGAATTGATGTTTTCAAATTTTTCCTCTATGTGGATGATATATCTGAGAAGATTAAGAATCTTTATGGTTCTCAACGAGGCGACATACTGGTTTTGATTGATTCCCTAGGTTACTGCCATTCAGAATTTGTTAATATGAAGGTTCTCGACTTTTTTGTGGATATTTTATCCGGGGACTTGTATCCTGTTGTCAAAATCAAGTTACAACAGAAATTCCTTGGCATGGCTCGTCCTTCCCTGTCAAAATGGCTGGAAATGAAATTACTGGGATCTGTAACAGAAGCACCCACTGGTGTTCAATGTGCAAAGGGAACTTCAGTCTCTTTAAGAGACTCGACTATGAATTTCATTATGTGCCTTTTGTCACCCAATTCTGAATTCCCGTTGCACGAACTACAGAGTCATATATTTGAAGCATTGCTCCTTTCACTTGACAATGCATTTACTCTATTTGATTTTAGTGCTGCAAAAGGCTATTATAATTTTGTTGTCCAACTCTCCAAGGGTGAAGCCTTAATTAAGTTGCTTCTACAGCGAACTGAGATGTTGATAGTGAAACTGGCTGGGGATGAACGTTCTCTTCAAGGACTGAAGTATCTATTTGGATTTCTTTCAACAGCTTTAAAAGATTGTGGGTTGACCCTGAACACAGTTGAAATGTCTTCTGGAAAGCTGGGTTCAAGCAGTAGTTCTGCTTTGGGGTCTTTGACATCTAGGTCCCTTGGTTCGAGAAAAAATCCTGATGCCTTAGTTTCGTCTGCTAATCAAGGAGGGTCTATGTCACTGGATTGCGATGCAACTTCTGTTGATGAGGATGAGGATGATGGGACATCCGATGGTGAGGTAGGTAGCATGGACAAAGAAGACGAGGAGGATAGCAACAGTGAGAGGGCCCTCGCATCTAAAGTTTGCACATTTACATCCAGTGGCAGTAATTTTATGGAACAGCATTGGTACTTCTGTTATACATGTGACCTGACTGTCTCCAAAGGCTGTTGCTCTGTGTGTGCTAAAGTTTGCCATCGTGATCACCGTGTTGTGTACTCGCGCTCTAGTCGTTTTTTCTGTGACTGTGGGGCCGGTGGGGTTCGAGGTAGCAGTTGTCAGTGCTTGAAACCTCGAAAATTCACTGGAACTAGTAGTGCACCAAATCGAGGTACTGGTAACTTCCAGTCTTTTCTGCCTCTAGCAGATAATGGTGATCAGTTGCCTGAAAGTGATACAGATTTTGATGAGGATGCATCAATGGACCTGGATAACGCTACCAGGTTATCTATCCCGAAGGAGGTTCAAGATAGGATGCCACTGTTGCTCAGGGAACTTGAGCTTGAAGATTGTGTTTTGGGAGTTTGCTTGTCATTGTTGCCTTGTATTATTGGTAGAAGAGACTCCAACCATTCTAAAGACAAGAAAGTTTCTTTGACTGAAGACAAAGTCCTTCGTTACAACAATGATCTGTTACAATTGAAGAAGGCCTACAAAAGTGGCTCGTTAGATCTGAAGATAAAAGCAGATTATTCAAATGCGAAGGAACTGAAATCTCATTTGACAAGTGGTTCTCTTGTTAAATCCTTACTTAGTGTCAGTTCCCGAGGTCGACTGGCAGTTGGAGAAGGCGATAAAGTTGCCATATTTGATGTAGGGCAGTTGATTGGACAAGCCACAATTGCTCCGGTGACGGCTGATAAGGCTAATGTGAAGCCTCTTTCTAAGAATATAGTTCGTTTTGAGATTGTACACCTTCTTTTTAATTCACTTGTAGAGAATTATCTTGTTGTAGCTGGATATGAAGATTGCCAAGTTCTTACGCTGAATAATCGAGGTGAGGTGATTGATCGCTTGGCCATTGAACTTGCTCTACAAGGTGCATATATCAGATGTGTGGATTGGGTTCCAGGTTCTCAGGTTCAGCTAATGGTGGTCACAAATAGATTCGTCAAAATATATGATCTATCTCACGACAATATCAGTCCTATGCACTATTTCACGTTGCCTGATGATACAATTGTGGATGCAACTCTTTTTGTGGGTTCTAAGGGTAGGGTGTTTCTCATAGTTCTCTCGGAGTTGGGCTGCTTATACAGGTTAGAGTTGTCAATGAAGGGAAATGTTGGGGCGCAGCCTTTGAAGCAAAGCATTCAAATGGATGGTGGAAACAAGCATGATAAGGGCTCCTCGCTATATTATTCATCTACTCACAAGTTGCTGTTTCTGTCCTATCAAGATGGGACTACTTTGGTCTGCCGGCTTAATCCAGATGCAACATCAATAGTGGAAATGTCTGCTGTATTTGAGAACGACCCCGATGGAAAGCTTCGGCCAGCTGGGTTGAATCGATGGAAAGAGTTGCTGGGTGGCAGTGGCTTATTTGTTTGCTATTCTAGTGTGAAATCGAATGGTGTACTGGCTATATCTGTTGGGGAGCACGAAATACTTGCACAAAATTTGCGGCATGCTGTAGGTTCAACCTCACCATTGGTTGGGGTTTCTGCTTACAAGCCTTTGTCAAAAGACAAAGTCCACTGTCTTGTTTTGCATGATGATGGAAGCCTTCAGATTCACTCCCACATCCCAGCTGGAAATGACACTGGAACAAGCATGATGTCAGATAAGGTTAAGAAATTGCGTTCTGGTATTCTTAAAAATAAAGCTTATGGAGGTGTAAAACCAGAATTCCCACTTGACTTTTTTGAGAAAACTGTCTGTATAACATCAGATGTTAAACTTAGTGGGGATGCCATCAGAAATAATGATTCTGAAGGAGCTAAGCAAACTTTGGCATCTGAAGATGGGTTCTTAGAGAGTCCTACCTCCGCTGGATTCAAGGTATCATTGATATGTGATTCAAATTATTTGCAGTATCTTTTGAGACATTTGTAACTGTTGTTGAGATGTGATGTGATTTTAGCCCGTTTTGCATCATCCATCATAAACCATAGGGTAAGAGAAATTTTAGTGACCTTTTTGTCTACTCCGCAAATGATTTGTGGGTTTTATATAATCATCCGGGAACTCTTCTTGGCATTCATTACAGTGATGTTATGCTTTAATGAAATCCATGTGCATGGTAATTATTGTATCATCATGTACAAGAACAGTATTGAAACAAGCATTTAAGAGGAAATTCTACTTAAGAAAGTATCTTCTGTATATTCTAAGATTTTTGGAATAGTATATCAATCTGGCATTTATAAGATTTTTCGCTGTAGATGCCTCTACATATATAACAGAAACATAGGTCAAAGACACTGTTTGGATACAATTTATAAATTGGTTTTTTAAAATTTATTAATCAATTTCAACCAAATATTCATAACCACCACTCATTATTATCTACATATTTTCCTACACACTACCACTACTCTTTTTATTCCTATTTATAACTATTTATAAATTTGTGAAATGAAGGCCAAATAATTTAATGAGCCTCGTTGGGCAAATTTGTAAATAGTTAATAAATAGGAACATTGAGAGGAACACTAGTGGGTTTCGCAAAATATGTGGATAGTAATGAGCGGTAGTTATGAATGTGTGTTTGAAATTAAAGTTTGATTTTTGACTGAATTTCTAAACTGTATCCATACGGAGTGTAATTTATTTGACAATATCTTGGATTTTAACATTGGAGAAGTATGACTTGAAACAGGTAATCTAGATTTCTTGCCATGAGCTTTTTGTTTATTGAAGATTGCTTTCTCTATGATTTTCAAACTTGTTTTCGTTACAGCACGTGCTTTATGACGTGCTGTAGGTGACCACAAAGCATCTTATGCATGCTTGACTTGACCCTTGTGTGAGATACTCCTTTTATCTGCTCAACTCGCTTAAGCTAATCTTACATGTAGGTATTGTGAATTTTTCTAGGGAGTATGAATTGTTGATGGATGGTAATTGATCTTTCAGGAATTGTTAGAACCAGTACATGGGCATTCGTTTCTCACTTGTCCTGTTCTCCAGTATTAAATTTCTATGTAATTCTTACCTGTAGTTTGCTGTTTTGTAAATAATTTGACTTTGTTTTTTGAGAACTCTTGAACTTCAATAATTCCTTTTTCGGCCTTTTTCTTCAGGTAACAGTCTCCAATTCAAATCCTGATATTGTCATGGTTGGTTTTCGTGTGCATGTTGGCAATACTTCGGCCAGTCATATTCCTTCTGAAATTACTATTTTCCAAAGAGTGATAAAATTAGACGAGGGAATGCGATCCTGGTATGATGTTCCTTTCACAGTGGCCGAATCACTTCTAGCTGATGAAGAATTCACAATTTGTGTTGGTCGAACCTTCAGTGGATCTGCGCCACCCAGAGTAGACTCATTAGAAGTTTATGGACGAGCAAAAGATGAATTTGGTTGGAAAGAGAAGATGGATGCAATTCTAGACATGGAAGCTCGTGTTCTCGGTTGTAATTCATGGGGTGCAGGATCCGGGAGCAAGTGTCGAACTGTGCAATCTGTTTCCTTGCAGGAGCAGGTGATGGCTGATAGCCTCAAGCTCCTGTCCCGGATATATTTATTGTGTAAGCCACAAGGGTGCTCAAAAGTCAAAGAAGTTAAAGCGGAGTTGAGTAGGCTCAAATGCAAGCAAGTGCTGGAAACAATATTCGAAAGTGATAGGGAGCCTTTGTTACAGGCTGCTGCTAGCCGTATCCTGCAGGCTGTATTTCCCAAAAGAGATATTTATTACCAAGTAATCCTAGACTTCTACTTTCATCACTCCGGTTTTCTATCGAGTGGTTTCATTCACGTGATTGTTTATGTGTAAGTGTAGATGTCATGCTTGGAAACTTGTCTAAATTATGTTTACAATTTGATGGTTAGGTTAAGGACACCATGCGCCTTACTGGAGTGGTGAAAGCCACGGCCTTACTTTCTTCAAAATTGGGAATGGGAGATACTACTGCAGGGTGGATTATTGAGGAGTTCACAGCACAGATGCGCGCAGTTTCTAAGATTGCACTGCATCGTCGCTCAAACTTGGCTACTTTCCTTGAGAATAATGGTATTGTTTCTTAAAATTACAATCTGCAGTTTGAGTTTGCATTATCGGTGTCTAGTTCTTGTGTGTGATTATTATTAGCCCCTTTTTGGTAGGGATTAAAATCAAATTTTTAGTAGATTTTGATAAAAGTTGATGAAATGTGTGGTTGAAAAGTTGTGGGTCCCATGAAATGTATTAAAATTAGTTGTTGACTTTGGCTTTTAGATTAAAATCTCGATTTTAATTTCTACCGAACAGAGACTTAATACTACTTGGTATGAGCATTGAACATTTCTCTCTTGATATTGGAACATCTCTGTTATTGAGCTTGTTAAGAGGTTCTGAAAAAAAAAATACGACTGTGTTTCATGTTAGGGTGGAATGTTTGTCAGCAGCCTTAGTTCTTCTCTCTTATTCTAGGAAGATTACGGCGATTTAGTAGGGCTTTGCATGTGATTTTTATTGTTAGTGAAAGGAGGAATAATGTAGAATATGCGACAATGCTACATATTCCGATGTATTTTGCTGCCCATTGTGCCAAGGTGAGTCGGAAACAGTTATATCTGCCAGGACTTCTATCTGTTGAGGTATTTTGTTGTAGGGCTTCTAGGAAGATTAGGGCGACATTGTAGGGCTTTGCATGTGATTTTTATTGTTAGTGAAAGGTGGAATAATGTAGAATATGTGAAAATGCTACATATTCTGAGCTATTCTGCTGCCCATTATGCCAAGGTGAGTCAGAAACAGTTATTCTGTCCCTATTTTTAGAAAAATATGATTTATGGAGAAATAAAGAAATAGATCGAACCAAGTATATCTGAGCCTTACAAGGAAAGGTAAAAAATGACATTATATATATATATCTTCCTTTTTTTTTTTAAAGAAAAAAATCCTATTTTGGGTTGAAATGAATTACAATTAAGGGTGTGTTTGAGCCACATTATTTTGGAAGAATGTATTTTGGAATAGTAGATTAATGGAGAATGTGTAGTTGAAAAAGAAGGAAGAGTTATCGATGTGATGGAAAATATTATTTTATTAAAGAATTGTGGTTGAAAATAGTAGAAAAATGAGAATGAAAATTTTAATGTGGCTCAAACAGGGGAATGAAAATTTTAATGTGGCTCAAACAGGGGCTAAGAAAGAAAAATAGGTTTTTGGATTAAGAAATAAACTAAGCCTCCGTTTGGTGCACATTTTGAAGGTAAGAATACATTTTTACTGTTGATGTGATGGGAAATATGTGGTTGAAAAAGAAGGAAAAATTATTGATGTGATGAAAAATATTATTTTATTGAAAAATGTGTGGTTAAAAATGAGTAAAAGAATGAGAACGAAAAAAAATATTGAAAAATGTGTGGTTGAAAAAGAGTAGAAGAATGAGAATGAAAAAAATAATGTGGACCAAACAGGGCCTAAACTTAAAAAAAAAAAAGCCATGGATAAATCCAAGCAATCTGCCAGGACTCTTACTGTTGTTACACTGAGCATGTAGTAGGATTAATTCCCCAAGCCTGAGCTCACGAGTCTACTGTAGATTGTTTCTTAACACCATATGAGAAGTTAATTTAATTTTTAATTATTTGAAGTTATGATTTGCCCCATTTGATTAAAGCTGTTTTTGCCCTCGCACGTTTCAACTATATACTTCCACAAGGGATGAATTGATTAGGTAGCATGTTGTTGGCTACTCTTGCACGTTGCTGAGATATATGCCTGTAGGGGACATTGTAAGGCTGTGGCTTGAACCTTAGGGTTGCCATTTTGTATATAATTATCGGTGTAGGTTTTTACCAAGTCTAGCCTTTTTGCTTTCTGTTTCGTGGGTCGCGAAACTCTTTACTGCTATATGGTACCCTGACCCCCAAACAGACACGGAAAAGGAGTAAAAGCTAAGCATGTAATGATATCTTAACCTGCCATGTTGGCTTTCTGACTTGTGCTGCACATTTTGTTTGTTTGCCTTCTAGGGAGCACAAGTATCTTTGAAACACTTGAGTGCAGAATTTGTACTATTATTTTTCCTGTCTGATCTGTCAACTGGCTGTAATTTGGTTTATCTTTATGGTTTTTCTGGTCATTTCCTGAACTGATGTTTTCTTTCTTACTTCTGTACTTCTTGTTCTGAACGATACATCATGTTTTTAGATTGATGATTTATAGATGAATGGTTATGCATTACTTGAGGAATTGTTATTGCATTTATATTTTTGTTTGTGATGTTATTTTGACCTACTGATGTAGGTTCTGAAGTAGTTGATGGACTTATGCAAGTACTTTGGGGAATTTTGGAAGTAGAGCAGCCAGAGGCACAAACAATGAACAATATTGTCATATCATCTGTGGAACTCATCTATTGTTACGCCGAGTGTTTGGCTTTGAGTGGAAATGATGCAGGAAAAAAAACTGTTACTCCTGCTGTTTTATTATTGAAAAAGCTTCTTTTTTCTACCAATGAGGCTGTTCAAACTTCCAGCAGGTAAATATGATGATTAAATTTGAGAATTTGAACTTCTCTTATGCATATTAAACATGCACCTAATATCTTCCATTTCTGTTCCCAGCTTGGCCATATCTTCAAGATTGCTGCAGGTTCCCTTTCCAAAGCAGACTATGTTAGGTGCAGATGATGTAACAGAGGGTGCAACTTCTGTTCCCATGCGTGCCGATCGTACAAGGACAGCTAGTGGAAATAACCAGATTATGGTTGAAGAGGACTCAGTTACTTCATCCATTCAATACTGTTGTGATGGTTGCTCAACCGTTCCCATACTGAGGCGTAGGTGGCACTGTACTGTTTGCCCCGATTTTGATTTATGTGAGACATGTTATGAAGTGTTAGATGCAGATAGGCTTCCTCCCCCACATTCTAGAGATCATCCTATGACAGCAATTCCAATTGAAGTAGAGACGCTGGGTGGGGATGGGAATGAAATTCACTTCTCCACTGATGAATTAAGTAACTCAAGTTTGCTGCCAGTTGCTGCTGACATCAGCGTGCAGAATTCTACTCCATCAATCCACGAGTTAGAGCCTAGTGAGTCTGGGGAGTTGTCATCTTCAGTAATCGACCCTGTTACCATTTCTGCATCCAAAAGGGCTGTCAATTCATTGCTCCTCTCTGAGCTCCTTGAACAGTTGAAAGGATGGATGCAGACCACCTCTGGCATTCAGGCAATCCCAATTATGCAGCTCTTCTACAGATTGTCCTCTGCTATTGGTGGACCTTTTGTGGATGACACAGAGACTGAGGACACAAATTTGGAGAAGTTAATAAAATGGTTTCTGGATGAGATAAATTTGAACAAACCTTTTGTATCCCAAAGTCGTTCATCTTTCGGGGAAGTGGCTATCCTTGTCTTCATGTTCTTTACGCTTATGCTGCGAAACTGGAACCAGACTGGTGGTGATGTTACTGTGTTAAAATCTAGTGGGTCTGGGGACACGCAAGACAAAACTACCATCCAGATGTCTGCTTCATCTACACTGGACAGCCACGAGAAAAGCGATTTTTTTTCTTATCTACATAGGGCTTGTGGATCTCTCAGACAGCAGACTTTCATTAATTATCTCATGGACATTTTGGAGCAGTTGGTTCATGTTTTTAAGTCCTCTTCTGACATTAATGACACTTCTTATGGGTTAAACCCTGGATCTGGCTGTGGTGCGCTATTAACAGTCCGGAGGGAGCTACCAGCTGGCAATTTCTCACCATTCTTTTCTGATTCATATGCCAAATCTCATCGTACAGATTTATTTGCAGACTATCATAGACTGTTGCTGGAGAACACTTTTCGCCTGGTTTATTGTTTAATTCGACCAGAAAAGCACGACAAGGGTGGGGAGAAAGACAAGTCGTACAAGATTTCTTCTGGCAAAGATTTGAAGCTTGATGGGTATCAGGATGCTCTCTGCAGTTATATCAACAACCCTTATACAACATTCGTGAGGAGATACGCTAGGAGGTTGTTTCTGCATCTATGTGGTAGTAAGACACACTATTACAGTGTTCGAGACAGTTGGCAGTTCTCAAGTGAAATTAAAAAGCTCTACAAGCACATAAACAAGTCGGGTGGATTTCAAAATACCATTTCATATGAGAGAGGTGTCAAGATTGTGAAATGCCTCTCCACTGTAGCCGAAGTAGCTGCAGCACGACCTCGGAATTGGCAGAAATATTGCTTGAAGCATGGTGATCTCTTGCCTTTTCTCATGAGTGGAGTTTTTTCTTTTGGAGAAGAGTGCGTTGTTCAGGCTTTGAAACTTTTGAATTTGGCTTTTTATACTGGAAAGGAAATGAGTCACTCTTTGCAGAAAGTTGAAGGAGGAGATGCAGGTGTCGGCTCAAACAAGTTGGGGGTACAATCCCTGGACTCAAAGAAAAAGAAGAAAGGAGAAGATGGAAGTGAATCTCTCATGGAGAAGTCTTACATGGATATGGAACCGGTATTAAATGTTTTTACTGACCGGTGCGGTGATTGCTTAAGGCAATTTATTGACACATTTTTGCTAGAATGGAATTCCAGCTCTGTGCGCGGAGAAGCCAAGTCCGTTCTGCTTGGGGCCTGGCATCATGGGAAACATGGATTCAAGGAAGATATGTTGACTGTCCTCTTGCAGAAAGTGAAATGCTTACCATTGTATGGTCAAAATATTGTTGAATATATGGAACTCATCACCTCCTTACTCGGGAAGATGCCAGATAACAATTCAAAACAACAGGAAAATGAAATTGTCGACAAATGCTTGACCCCCGATGTGATTAGATGCATTTTTGAGACACTACACTTACAAAATGAGCTTTTGGCCAATCATCCCAATTCACGCATATACAACACCTTGAGTGGTTTGGTAGAATTTGATGGTTACTATCTTGAGAGCGAACCTTGTGTTGCCTGCAGCTCTCCTGAGGTCCCATATAGCAGGATGAAGCTAGAAAGTTTGAAGTCGGAAACAAAGTTCACTGATAATCGTATTATTGTGAAATGCACTGGTAGCTACACCATTCAGAGTGTGACCATGAATGTTCATGATGCTCGCAAGTCCAAATCGGTAAAAGTTCTGAATCTGTACTATAACAACAGACCGGTCGCGGACTTGTCGGAGTTGAAAAATAATTGGTCACTTTGGAAGCGGGCAAAGGTTTGCCATCTTGCTTTCAATCAGACAGAGCTAAAAGTGGACTTCCCAATTCCGATAACGGCGTGTAACTTTATGATTGAGTTGGATTCTTTCTATGAAAATCTTCAAGCATTATCCCTTGAACCATTGCAGTGTCCACGTTGCAGTCGACCTGTCACTGACAAGCATGGAATTTGTGGCAACTGTCACGAGAATGCTTATCAGTGCAGGCAATGCCGTAATATCAATTACGAAAATCTTGATTCCTTTTTGTGCAATGAGTGCGGGTACAGTAAATATGGTCGTTTTGAATTTAATTTTATGGCTAAGCCAAGTTTTACTTTTGATAGCATGGAAAATGACGAAGATATGAAAAGAGGATTGGCTGCAATAGAATCTGAATCAGAAAATGCTCATCGGCGATACCAACAGCTTTTGGGATTCAAGAAACCTTTGCTGAAGATTGTGTCAAGCATTGGTGAGAATGAGATGGACTCTCAGCAGAAGGATTCTGTTCAGCAAATGATGGTCTCTCTGCCTGGCCCCTCCTGCAAGATTAACCGTAAAATTGCTCTTCTTGGTGTCCTTTATGGTGAGAAATGCAAGGCAGCTTTTGATTCTGTGAGCAAAAGTGTTCAGACTCTTCAAGGTCTCAGACGAGTTTTGATGAATTATTTGCATCAGAAGCAATCCAATAATGCAGTAACTGCCTCCAGATTTGTTGTGTCAAGATCTCCAAATAGTTGCTATGGGTGTGCTATTACATTCGTTACACAGTGTCTTGAGTTATTACAAGTGCTATCCAAACATCCAAGCTCCAAGAGGCAACTTGTTGCTTCTGGCATTTTACGTGAGTTGTTTGAAAACAATATACATCAGGGACCAAAAACAGCCCGTGTCCAAGCCAGGGCAGCGCTCTGCGCTTTTTCTGAGGGGGATGTGAATGCTGTGGCAGAATTGAATAGCTTACTGCAAAAGAAGGTAATCTACTGTCTTGAACATCACCGGTCTGTGGACATTGCTTTGGCAGTACGCGAAGAGTTGATGGTGCTTTCAGATGTGTGTTCTTTAACAGATGAGTTTTGGGAGTCTAGGCTGAGAATTGTCTTCCAGTTGTTATTTAAATCCATTAAACTGGGTGGAAAACATCCTGCTGTGTCTGAGCACGTTATCCTTCCCTGTCTGAAGATTATATCTCAGGCATGTACTCCCCCAAAACCTGATACAGTGGATGAAGAGCCAGCGACCGGAAAGCCTGCTCCAGTTTCAAATTTAAAAGATGAAAACAACTCTAGTATCTCTGGATCTAGTGGGGTGATCAATGGAAGTAAGTCGTCAGAGCCACTAGAGAAGAGTTGGGGTGGTTATCCAAAGACTCAAGATATTCAGTTACTAAACTATTCTGAATGGGAAAAAGGAGCTTCTTATCTTGATTTTGTTAGGCGACAATACAAAGTTTCTACCGCAGTAAGATGTGGCCAAAAGTCTCGGGCGCAGAGGAATGATTACCTGGCCATGAAATATGCTCTCAGATGGAAGCGGCGTGCTTGTAAGACAGCTCAAAGCGAGATAAGATCATTTGAACTGGGATCATGGGTTACAGAACTCATATTGAGTGCTTGTTCACAGTCTATAAGATCTGAGATGTGCATGCTAGTGAGTCTGCTTTGTGGCCAGAGTTCATTGAGACGGTTTCAGTTACTAAACTTGCTAATGTCTTTGTTACCAGCCACTCTTTCCTCAGGTGAAAATGCTGCAGAATATTTTGAATTGCTCTTTAAAATGATTGATTCGGATGATGCACGTCTTTTCTTGACTGTAAGAGGATGCTTGAGCACCATATGTAAGCTAATCACCCAGGAAGTGAATAATATTGAATCCTTGGAGAGGAGCCTCCGAATTGATATCTCACAAGGTTTTATTCTTCATAAACTTATAGAGCTCCTTGGTAAATTTTTGGAGGTACCTAATATCAGATCGAGGTTAGTGCTTGACACGATTTGATACATAGTGGAACCTTTTTGTCAATATTTTTAAGACACATAATTTTTTTGTTGTGGCAGATTGATGAGAGAACAATTGTTATCTGAGATTCTTGAGGCACTTATTGTGATCAGGGGCTTAATTGTTCAGAAGACGAAGCTCATAAGTGATTGTAATCGACTTCTGAAAGAACTTCTTGACGGTCTTCTGCTCGAGAGCAATGAAAATAAAAGGAAGTTCATCCAGGCATGTATAGGTGGCTTACAAATTCATGGAGAAGAGAGAAAAGGACGTAATTCTTTGGTATGTAGCGAAGTTCTCCCTTCTGCCTCTTGACTTTGGGCTTTAGCCAGAATTGTCCTACTTGGCACAAATTGATTGGTTAATTTGAGGTGCACAATATAAAAAATGATTATGATTCGATGTTTGACAACCCTTTGGGCTTGGGAAAAAAAAATAAACTAGCTACTACTAATTTACTTGTGATGACTTTATTTGGTTTTTTACTTTCAACTGGTGTAAATGGAAGTTCGGAGGTGATGATCTGACCATGTGTTTGGTTGTACTAAATAAACCGGCTTTTTCTATGCTCTGTGCAGTTTATCTTGGAGCAGCTCTGCAATTTGATTTGCCCATCAAAACCAGAGCCTGTATATCTTTTGATATTGAACAAGGCGCACACACAGGAGGAATTTATTAGGGGATCAATGACCAAGAATCCATACTCAAGTGCTGAGATCGGTCCACTCATGCGTGATGTCAAAAATAAAATTTGCCACCAGTTGGATATGTTAGGTCTCCTTGAAGATGACTATGGCATGGAACTGCTAGTTGCTGGAAATATCATCTCCCTCGATTTGAGTATTGGTCAAGTTTATGAGCAAGTTTGGAAGAAGTCAAACGGTCAATCTTCAAATACATCAGCTGGGACAGCGTTCCCATCCACTAATACAGTCACATCTACCAGAGAATGTCCTCCAATGACAGTGACTTACCGCCTTCAGGTTTGCTTCTACAGTCGAAATGTAATAGGTTATGCAGTTATATCTGGGTTTTTCCTTCCTATGATTGTCTTATGTGGAAACATTATGGTGGTCCAAAGTTATCTCCTCTCTCTACTCTGATACTGGAAAGACGTAATATTTTTTCTTTTCTTGCATTCAAATGATAAGCTCTTCAAATTGCAGGGATTGGATGGTGAAGCTACAGAGCCGATGATCAAAGAATTGGATGAGGATAGAGAGGAATCCCAAGACCCTGAGGTTGAATTTGCAATTGCAGGTGCTGTCCGAGAATGTGGGGGACTTGAAATTCTGTTGAGCATGGTTCAGGTATGCAAGTTACTTTGATGGACCTTCACTTGTTTGTTTTAACATACTTTCTTTTACTTTTATCTCTTCAAACTTCTGGCTGTATTCCATTATGCTTTACCATTCCTAGTTTTGAACATGCTATAATAATTTGTTCTAATACTGCATTTGATTAAACAGCGCCTGCGAGATGATTTGAAGTCCAACCAAGAGCACTTGGTCGCTGTGCTTAACCTGTTAATGCTTTGTTGCAAAATAAGGGAAAACAGAAGAGCATTGTTGAGATTGGGAGCCTTAGGTCTACTCCTTGAAACTGCAAGGCGTGCCTTCTCTGTTGATGCAATGGAGCCAGCCGAGGGTATTCTCTTGATTGTGGAGTCTTTAACACTGGAAGCAAATGAGAGTGATAATATTAACATCACGCCAGGGGTTACAGTCGCTACTGAAGATACAGGTAGCAGTGAACAGGCTAAGAAAATAGTTCTCATGTTCTTGGAACGATTATCTCATCCTTCAGGACTTAAGAAGTCAAGTAAACAGCAGAGGAACACAGAGATGGTTGCCAGAATTTTACCATACTTGACTTATGGAGAACCTGCTGCCATGGATGCTCTCGTCCAGCATTTTGATCCGTACTTGCAGAATTGGAGGGAATTTGACAGGTTGCAGAAGCATTATGAAGGTAATCCTAAGGATGAAAAAATCTCTCAGCTGGCAGCCAAACAAAAGTTTGCCCTGGAGAATTTCGTCAGAGTCTCCGAATCACTGAAGACAAGTTCCTGTGGGGAGAGGTTGAAGGATATTATACTGGAGAAGGGGATAACTGGAGTTGCTGTGCGACATCTGAAGGAAAGTTTTGTGTTCACTGGGCAGGCAGGCTTTAAATCTAGTGCAGAATGGACATCTGGGTTGAAAATGCCTTCTGTTCCACTTATACTTTCAATGCTTAGGGGGCTGTCCATGGGTCACTTGGCCACTCAAAGGTGTATTGACGAAGAAGGAATTTTACCTTTGCTCCATGCTTTGGAGGGAGTTTCTGGTGAAAATGAGATTGGGGCAAGGGCTGAAAATTTGTTGGACACTCTTAGTGACAAGGATGGAAACGGTGATAGTTTCCTGGCAGAGAAAGTGCTCCAGTTACGACATGCTACTCGCGATGAGATGAGGCGTCGAGCTCTAAGGAAACGAGAGGAGTTGCTTCAGGTATTTCTTCTCGAACTCATTTGCAGTTGCCTCCCTTACAACAGTTTATTTCTCTGCGAACTGCAGTCATCTTGTTTGCTACCTAATGGTACTAAAATGATCTCTGTAATATTCATTTAGGAATGAAGTTTTTTGTCCATTCTTTTCTTAACCGTGTAATTGTAGTATTAACTGACAAGGTTTCGATGAAAAAAAGAGTTGAACATGGATCATTAATTTGCAAAAATTAATTCAGAAGCTTTACTTGTGGAGTTTTCTTGCCATTTGAAGCTTTCTACAGCCTCATGAAGATTCATTAGTCTCTTCTACATTGTCTTAAGACAGTAAAGATTTGTGTGTGATATTATATGTATCTTATAAAGCAGACGTGAATTCAGGAATTATTTCATGTTAACATGAGTTATGGTGATGAACTTTTATTGATGGTAATATCGTCCTATTTTTGCCAGGGACTTGGTATGCGTCAAGAACTGGATTCAGGTGGTGGTGAACGAATTGTAGTTGCTCATCCTGTCCTCGAAGGTTTTGAAGATGTTGAGGAGGAAGATGGTCTAGCTTGCATGGTTTGCAGAGAGGGCTACCGGTTGCGACCTAATGATTTATTGGGTGTATACACTTACAGTAAGCGGGTGAACCTGGGCATTGGAACTTCAGGAAATACTCGTGGAGATTGTGTTTACACGACTGTGAGTCATTTCAATATCATACATTTCCAGTGCCATCAAGAGGCTAAAAGGGCAGATGCTGCCCTTAAGAATCCAAAGAAGGAATGGGATGGAGCAGCCCTCAGAAACAATGAGACACTCTGTAATAATTTATTTCCATTGAGAGGTCCATCTGTTCCTATCGGACAATACATAAGATATGTTGACCAATATTGGGATTATCTTAATGCTCTTGGACGTGCCGATGGAAGCAGACTCCGGTTATTGACGAATGACATTGTTTTGGTAAGCTGCCTCTTTCATTTGTTCTATTTGAGTTTACAACTTCCCACTATTTTTTTTGTTCCTTATTCTGTACTTTTGCACTCGACTAATTGCATATTGAAATATGGCAGATGCTAGCTCGTTTTGCCACTGGCGCATCATTCAGTGCAGATAGTAGAGGTGGCGGTAAGGAAAGCAACTCCAAATTTTTACCTTTCATGATACAGATGGCATGGCACCTTTTGGATCACGACTCTTCCCAGCGGCAAAACATGGCTAAATCTATCAATACCTATCTGTCTTCGCCTACATCAGAATCCAAAATCTCTTCTCCTGGTACCCAGCCATCCAGTGGGACAGAGGAAACTGTTCAATTCATGATGGTGAGCTCACTACTGTCAGAATCATACGAGTCTTGGTTGCAACATCGACGTGCTTTCCTACAGTGTGGAATACACCATGGATACATGCAGCGTCATGGACGCTCGATGCATCGCTCCTCACTGAAATCAGATACGAGCGCAAGCAGCCTCTCAGCAGAAAGTGGAGGATCTAATGAGTTATTTTCCACCATTCAACCGATGCTTGTTTATACTGGCTTGATTGAGCAGCTGCAGTATTTCTTCAAAGTTGGAAAATCTTCTGGTTTAGACAATGCCCAAACACAAGGGACGACCTCCAAGGAAGCAGAAGGGGAAGATGAAAGTAGACAATTGGAAGCTTGGGAGTTGACGATGAAAGAGAAACTATTAAATGTGAAAGAAATGGTGGCTTTCTCCAAGGAGTTGCTGACGTGGCTCGATGATATGACTTCTGCGACGGATTTACAGGAGGCATTTGACATAATCGGTTCTTTATCCGATGTATTAAGTGGTGGCTTTACTCAATGCGAGGATTTTGTTCACGCTGCTATTAATGGTGGGAAAAGCTGAAGGATACCATTGTCTGTAAACAAATTCAAATGTGCAAGGATTTTTGATTCCATTGTTGTATCTTGAATGAAATCCTGTTCATGCAGTTCAGGTTGGATTTCTTTCTTTAGTAAGACGTTCTGTTAAAATCAATTTGACTTTCAACTTGGAGCGAAAGACACAGGAAAACAATAGGAAGAACTCACAAAGACGTGGCCAAATGAGCTACCCCACATACCCACCATCTCTTTCCTTCAATAATGCCTTCACCTAGCTACTTTTTATTAGTAATTATTTCTCTGTTTCTATATAGTTGATGTTGAGTTAAAATAGAAGAGAAGGGTTGCAATATGTTGATAATTTGTATGAATCATGGAAACTCGAATATTTCTCACCAAATTTTCACCAAATTTTCAAGTATCAAATTAACCTAGGTAGGTGTGATTATACCATTTCTATGCGCATTCATTTCCATGTGAAAAATCTGAACCCTGCCACTTGTGAATATTAATGCTTCAATAAGTTCCACTCTTAATGTCAGTAATGAAATGGAAGCATCAAATTGCCCGTGTGAATTAAACAAGCAATGCCTTTGAAAGAGCCACTACTTTTGAGCCAATTGAATTTGTCTACCGCCAATTGAATTTGTCTATCCCAATAAGGAAATCTGACTAAAATTCCAACCACAATATGTGGGGGGTGACCACTATCAATTATCGTCAATTTGTACTGTCAAATTCAGGTTTCAACTCATGCCTTAATGGAAACAAGTTATTTCAATTACAACACCACCAAGACCAGTGCATTCAAATTATTTCAATTACAACACCACAGAGACTAGTGCATTAAGTTCACTATCATCTCTATGGGGCATTTAAATCCGTTCCCACTCATTTATCCCTATCTTATTTATCCCACTAATTCAATATATTATCAGTGGATAATGAAAAAAAATAAAGAGACGCTACTTAATTTTTCTATTTGATTCATTTTATGTCGGTCATGAATTGATGTAACTGACATATCGAATGACACGGAATACAAGATTACATGATTTATATGTTGGTACATAGATATGTGCAAATCAAACCAAACATATAAAGCTATGTTTGGGGGTGTTGAAAATGATAATTGTGTTTTTAAGTAGGTGTTTAAATTTGAAGTGATCGAATGACACGGAATACAAGATTACGTGATTTATATGTTGGTACATAGATATGTGCAAATCAAATCATACACATAATGCTCTGTTTGGGGGTGCTGAAAATGATAATTGTGTTTTGAAGTAGGTGTTGAAATTTGAAGTGATGTACTTGCCTTAATGAGTCGGCTTATAGGATTGTTTATGCAACATTTGTATAAGATTTAAAACCAAATTAAATTTTAAATTGGGTATCAACATATCGCGACCATCTTTCATAGTTAATTAACTAAGATAAGCCAAAGATTCCCTAAGTTTTGGTTAAAATCATTCAATAATTATTTTACAATTAGTAAATGAGATATAACGTCAAAATCCACGGTATAAGGAGCATGATGGCTTGACGTCATCCTAAACTCTCTCTTGCGGGCTTGAAACTTAACGTTGATAGCTCAACATGTGAATTACACTTGTTACGATACTTAACCCCAAAACTTCACATCAAGGCAATAGCTTACAACCTCTATACACCACTTATGTCCACGTTAGGTTTGATCGATGGTATAAGAAATAGATAGGCGAAGATAATTATTTTACAACAATGATATATGAATAGAAAAAAACTTTCCATGCTTATCCAAAACATGGTGAAGAATTTCACACCATGCTCAAAGACAAATAGTGTACTTGTTGTTTTTCCAGAAATGAAAAAAATATGTCACGGACAATTTGTCACCTTTGTAGAGTCCAAAACAAATGTTTTTTGTCTGGGTTGGTCCTGTTTGGTTCACAAGTATAAATCACGAGTTGCAAAATATTATCAATTCTTTCTGAGTTAATTAATGCACATGTCATTCAACATAACTCAAAAAAGAAATTAAAAAAGGACACAATTTATATTTTTAATTCCACACGATCTTTCGTGTTCGAATTTTCTTTAACCGCTTACGCTCTCAATATTTCTATACATCTATATTACACCTTTCTCATCTTAATTCAATAAAGACGAAACTACATTTACGGCAAAACATCATCGTTGAATGGAAACCATCAAAATCATAAAGAGTGACTTGTAAGGAATTATGAAGTTTTTCGACCAAGTGGGGTTGATGGGAACTGCACACTTGATGATTAGAATGTGAATAAAAGCAAAAACAAGCAATAAAAGTGGCTTAGAAGCTTAGTCACAAGTTAATCATCAATTCAGACCTAAAATAAGCAACTTTTCAGTTTTCAACTCTCAAGATTTTCACCACTTAGAACACGAGAGAAAGACAATCTGTTTGTACGTTTGATGGAACTTAAAAGTTTCTCTTTGTGCATGAATGTGACTCAGAAAAAAGTTTGCATTCTCATAGTCAGGAATCTTAATTGTAGTCATAACTCATAATTAACAAAGTTATTAGTTTTTCCTTTTTTGGGTTTTCGAGGTCATGTATTAAATGATAGTTAACGCCTTAGATTCGTCATTTTTGGCGTAAAAATAGCATCAAAATCAGTCCCTAGAGTTCACCTTTTTCTGCTATATATTATCCTTAACATCACCAATTCATAATCTTGGTTTCATTTTGGTTCGTCCCTTTTTTTCACTGTCCTTTAGGGCTAAGAACTGGCACTAGGAGCATCAGTAACTTAAGGGCCTTGAAATTCAATTTCATCTGTTTGAAAGGGAGTTTTTTTACTGTGTAAACTGAAAGATAGCAATGAAAAGATTAAAGTGAAGGAGAGGAATTGGGTTCCGAGGATGAGGTTTTTGGGTGAAGTGAGAGTAGAAAATACCGAGTTTTTTACAAGTTCTCATGTTAAATTGAAGATATGGATTTTGAGGGCAATCACTACTCTATTGCTATGGACTTGTATAATTCAATTGGTGGCATTAGGAGAGGTCTGGGGACCCAACTTGTTGAAGAGTTGGCCTTCTTGTTCCAATCCTCCTGGTGCACACACAGAGGCTAATGTGTCTTTTCCGCGTCGAAAAGTGCAGCTTCCTCCAAAGAGTGAGCCATTGGCCTTTTAACTTTTATCTTTCCACTGTTATGTGACTTGTTATTTAGGCTTATTGTACATGACATGGAATTTTATGCTTGAATTTCAATTTGCTCTGTGTTATCTGATACCTATAATTCATTACTGATCTCTGTTTGATCCCTTGTATTTTAGTTCACTATAAGAAATTTCACTCGTTCTATAACCAATGCGGATGAGATGTTCTGATGATCGAGCTTTGATATGATATGTTCGATTTTGGAGTTATTTGTTGAAACTGGTTTCATTGCTTGCAGGGGTCTATAAGAACAATGGTTATCTTGTTGTTTCTTGCAATGGTGGACTCAATCAAATGCGAGCAGCTGTGAGTTGCCTTCACTTTGTTACGATTTTCTTGTAATATGTTATGACTTTGTTGCTGCTAATGCCTCATTCGCCTTTCCCTTCTGCTGTGAAGATATGTGACATGGTTGCTATTGCCAGACATCTTAACGTTACTCTTATTGTACCGGATTTGGATAAAACTTCATTTTGGGCTGATCCGAGGTAATATTGAAATACCCTTTACACAATCGCCCTGAATTTTAAATTGCTATTCATCATTTTCGTTAAGAATTTCTTTCCAAATGGCAGCAATTTCCAGGACATATTTGATGTGGATCATTTCATTTCATCTTTGAGGGATGAGGTCCGGATATTGAAAGAGCTTCCACCAAGACTTAAACGAAAGGTTGAACTTGGAATGTTCTACGAGTTACCTCCTATCAGTTGGTCAAATATTTCTTATTACCATCAACAGGTTATTTACTGTTTTTAAGATACAAGCCAAAATATTTTCTTTTGCTTCAAGGATGGTGTACAAAAATTAATGTCATGATGTTCATCGACAGATTCTTCCCCTTCTTAAAAGTCATAAAGTAGTACATCTGAATAGAACTGATGCTCGGCTTGCTAATAATGGTTTACCATTCGAGATTCAGAAGCTGCGCTGTAGAGTTAATTTTCATTCTCTGAGATTCACTGGCCGGATAGAGGAATTGGGTCGAAAAGTTGTCAGGATTCTGAGGCAAAATGGTCCTTTCTTGGTCCTCCATCTTAGATATGAAATGGACATGCTATCATTTTCTGGTTGCACTCGTGGGTGCAGCAACGAGGAGGTGGATGAACTGACGAGAATGAGGTAAAACCGTAAAAAGATTTTCTTTTCACATGCAAGTATTCAAACTGTGATCTCTTATTGACCGGCGGAAAACCAATGACAATTAGATATGCTAATCCTTGGTGGAAGGAGAAAGCCATAGATACTGAACTCAAAAGAAGAGAAGGTTTATGCCCTTTGACACCTGAAGAAGCTGCTTTAGTACTAACTGCACTTGGCGTTGATCATAATGTTCAAATTTACATAGCTGCTGGTGAAATTTATGGCCGAGAGAGGAGATTGAGACCTTTGGCAGCAGCATTTTGGAATCTAGTCAGTAAAATTAGCCGGCTTTTCGCCTCCTTGGATTGATATTCACAAATACTTTTCTTGTATTATGGACAGTACTCTTTAACCTGCAGCTTGAATTTTGTACAACAGGTTAGAAAGGAGAAATTGTTAGAGCCTTCAGAGTTGCGGTTCTTCCAGAACCACTCATCTCAGATGGCAGCTCTCGATTATCTCGTCTCGTTGGAGAGTGATGTCTTTGTTCCCACATATGATGGGAATATGGCTAAAGTTGTTGAAGGACACCGCAGGTACTCTTTCCTCGTATAGAATTTATCATTTTTTTATATCATTGTGACTGAAGTTGTTAGTTTGGTGTAATTCAAAATCTTTCAGATATCTAGGTTTCAAGAAGACCATCCTACTGGACAGAAAAGTTTTGGTCAATTTGATCGATCAATACGAAAATGGATTGTTGAGCTGGGATGAGTTTTCATCGACTATAAAGGAAGTTCACGCAAACCGTACTGGGTGTCCAAAGAGTCGAGTTGTGATTTCAGATAAACCAAAGGTAGAAGATTACTTTTACTCCAACCCACAAGAATGTTTGCAGCCAATGGATGAAGCACTGAGAAGGTGGTGATTCTTACAAGGTTCCTTTGATCATACATAACTCATGTATTCATATTCTTACTTGCACAGCTGTAAATCAAAAACTACAGAATGATATATGAGGAAAAATAAGGTCTTTGACAAGCAATTAAGAATTCTCATAGTCAGGAAGTCCAAGCAAACTTACGTGTGTGACTTCTGCATAACTAAGGCTTGATTTAACTATTCGCTTCTAATGAAGATGAAGATTAGTCTAATATATTTTTCGGCACAAGTGGAGTTCGCTCGAAGTCTTTGTGAGCTTTACGTTTGAAGTTTCAACACAGTTAGGTCGTTGCTACAACTTCTCTTTGGCTCGCCCGTATTTCTAAAGGTGCGTAAGCACTTCACTCGGTCCACAATAAGGGAAATAAAGGCACTAGCAGATGCAGTTTTTGGAGTAGTAGTCCTTTTTCCTGTTTTTGGGAAGGAAGATTTCTTCATGGGGATCTCCCTTTTTATGGAAGGATGTTAGGGTAGCAAGTGAAATTTCAATTGGGTCATTAAGCTTTAATTTATTTGAATAGGATCACTATGTTACGTTTCAGTCACCTATCATTCCCAAACTGACAGAAGTTACTTAGTTAACAATCGATCTTATTTTATTAAGTATGAAGTACAATTACATAATCGATTTAAAATTTAAATATTATATAAAATAAGTAATTGATAAATGGATAATATAAGTGGATCGAAAGTAATCTAATCGATTATAAACAAGTTATACACCGTTCCCAAAGAACGGATTATAAATCGTTTTTACAAAGACGTTTCTTGGGCTCCACAAGTTGGCCAACAAAACCCATTTAACAACATGGACTATGGGGTAACCCAATGAGGAAATTACATCCACACAGGTATTTAAAATTTACAATTCAAAAATCAGGTTTAAAGTTTATTTATACAAAAATCAGGTTTCTCATTTTAAATATTAAATATTAATTTATTTCAATCATTATAATTATCCAAACCCTAAAAATCAAAAAATCATTTACACATTCTCTCTCATCTCTCTTTTTCTCTCATCTCTAGCCTCTCTTTTCTCCTGCCGCCGATGTCGGAATCTGGTACCACCGGCGCCTCTCCTTTCCCTCAAATCGTCGACACCACAGCGACAAGAGCGGCGGCGGCGTAATCCCGTGGAAGAAGATCTAAGAGCGGCCGGTGAATCTGGTTGGGGGTGTGTGGTGGTGTTGATGTTGTTTATGGGGTGGTAGTGGTGGTTTGGGGTGATTTCAGTGACGTTGGTTCTGGCGGCAGTGAGTTGTTGGTAGTTGTGGCGGTGGTGTGTTTTTATGGTCGCGACGTTGCTATCTTTTTTGGGTCGCGATTTAGGTGGTGGCGGATGTGGTGGCTGTGTGAGATCAACTGTGATGTGGTGGTGGCTGTGACGGTAGTAGGTGCGTGCGATCTGTTGCGATTTGGTGGTTGGCGGTGGCTGTGGGTGCGATGTGCTGCGTTTTGGTGGTCGACGGTGGTTGTGGTCATTTTCATTGGGTGGTGGTGGTGGTTGTTTGGGGATGGTGTTGGTGGCGGCGACGGCGGTGGTTTATGTGGTGAGGTCATTTTCTGTTGGTGGTGTCGAGGTCTTTTTCTGGTGGTGGTGGTGAGGTCGTTTTCATTGGGTGGGCGGCGACGGTGGTTACTGGGGTGTTGGTGGTGGCAGCGGCGATGGTTTATGTGGTGGCGGTGGTCTGTTTCTATGGTGTTGGCGGTGGAGACGACGGTGGTGTTATGTTGGTGGTGGTCACAGATGATTTGTTGATTGTGACCAATAAATTGGTTGATATGTGACCAATAAAGAATAAATTGTGATCAATAAATACTGTGTGACCTACAAATTTATTAATTTGTGACCAATAAAAATAATGTGTGACCTATAATTTGATATTTTGTGACCATAAAATAAGTTGTGTGACTTACAAATTTTGTGATTTGTGACCGATGAACAATTTGTGACTTTTAAATTTTTATTTTGTGATCGTTGAACGAACTATGACCTATAAAATTTTTGAATCGTGACCTTAAAATTTTTGATTTGTGACCAAATTGAATAGATTTGTGACCTTTATATATTTATCAATAAAACATATAATTAATTCATTCATTCATAAATAAATTTTAATGAAAACCTGATTTTTGAAATTTAAAACTTCTAACCTTAAATTTGAAATGGTGACACTTAAAAACCTGATTTATGTATTGTTCCCCAACCCAATTTCTATACATGGGCCTAAATTAAGACACATACAGTGTAAGATCTTAATATTAGGCCCTGCTGTCATTGAGCTTTCAGCAAAATTTCAATTACTAAATTTTAATGGAAAATTGCATAAAACTAGGCATTTAGTTTGACATTTTTAAAAATCAGGTATATACTTTATTTATTCAATTTTCAAGTTTTTATCATTTTAATTAATAATAATAATGATATTATAAATTAAAATAATCTATATACCCACCCTACTACATAACCCCACCAAATTTATTTTAAATATAAAACCTTATCCAAACCCTACCCTAATCCATTTCATTTCTCTCCACTCCACCGCCCGTCGCCTCCATCGCCACCTCTCTCCGCGATTCATTCACCACCACCACCGCCCGCCGCCTCCTCCTCCTCCTCCCCTTCTCCTTCTCCTCAACTCTGGTGAAAACAATTATCTGTTATATATTTATACAATAAATATAATATTTGAAAGAAATAATTAATTAAGATGAAGTGCCCAACTGGTGAAAAGTGTGGAATTTGTGTGGGAGGTCAGGTGTTCGAGTCACGCCTCACGCACTATATTAAAAAGTCTTTGATTGGGCCTTATTGATTCTAATAAAATAATTATTCTTTTTAATCATTTTCGAAATTATTTAATGGGTCAACTAGCCAGTAGAATATGACAGTTTTAACTGCCCAGTATTAATACCCATTACCATTGGCCATTACATCTGCAACTTAATACTAGATCATGGTGGAAGAAGTTACATCTCTTTTTGCCTATATAAACAAACTTTTGGGTATTAGAAAATAACAAGAAAAACGAGATTATATATTTCTATACAGAAAAAATATTGTTCTTAGTTTTACATATTTCTGGAGTACACTTGAGAGTTCTGAAAACCTTTTATGATTGCTGCACAATTGGTTTATTTGATCGTTGTATCCTGGAGGTGATTGTCCACAGAGGTCGCATCAATTATCGACGGGCAATTTCGCTTTAGGACATCGTGCTGTCACGAGACTCGATCTTTTGATAAGTTTTTCTGCACTTTACTGTTATTTTATCCAACAATCTAAAGCGAAATTAGTTTTTAATGGCTGCAGTAGATATATCTGTTCCTAAGTATTCTGAAAAGCCTGAATTATTTGATGGAAAGAATTTTAAGAGATGGCAAATGAAATTGCGATTTTATTTGACAACTCTTAAAGTTGTAGATGCTATTGAATCTGATAAACCTGTTTCTGCAATTGCTGATGAGCCTACTGATAAGGAAACATCAGATTTAGCTAATTGGGAACGTAATGATTATATGTGCAGAAATTATATTCTGAATTGCTTGACGTTGGATTTATATGATGTTTACTGGTCGTGTAAATCTGCTAAAGAATTATGGAAGTCATTAGAAAAGAAATATGCTACTGAAGATGCTGGAACTAAGAAATTTGTTGTGGGAAAATTTTTAGATTTTAAAATGGATGATATTAGAACGGTGGTAAGTCAAGTTGAAGAATTACAGATTATAATTCACGAAATTATTGCTGAGGGATATAAAATATGTGAAGGTTTTCAAGTGTCTGCTATAATTGAAAAACTACCACCTTCTTGGAAAGAGTATAAAAACAGTTTGAAGCATAAAAGAAAAGAAATGTCACTGGAGGATTTGATTATCAGAATTAGGATTGAAGAGGACAATAGAATGGCAGAACGTAGGGAGAGACCAGACTTGGGTACAAAGGCCAATCTTATTGAAGGAGGTTCTGATAGTAAGAAAGCTGTTGGAAATTATACTAAAAGTCAGAATTTTAAAGGCAGATTCAAGGGGAAACAATTCATAGGAAAGAACAATTGGTCTAAACCTCAATTTAAAAATAAAACTATTGGGGATTGTTTTGTTTGTGGTAAATCAGGTCACTTTGCAAAGGATTGTCGAAATAGAAAAGGAAAAACTGTGAAGCATCAGGCACATATAGTAGAAGATGGGAATTTTTCTGCTATGGTGACAGAAGTTAATCTAGTGAGCAACATGACAGACTGGTGGGTAGATTCTGGAGCTACCAAACACATTTGCTGCACGAGAGGTGCATTTTCTTCATTCACTCCTAATAGTGATGGAGAATGTCTGTTCATGGGAAATGCTTCTTCCTCCAAAATCGAGGGGAAAGGAACTGTGACACTTAGATTTACTTCTGGAAATGTCCTTAGTTTGAAGGATGTCCTTTATGTACCTGATATAAGGAAAAATCTAGTGTCTGGATCTATTTTAGTCAAAAAGGGATTTAAAATTGTATTTGAGAGTGGTCAAGTTGTAATGTCTAAGGGTGGTACTTTTGTTGGGAAAGGGTATGCAGATGAGGGTCTATTTAAATTAAATGTTTCTGTGATCAATAATAAAGCTTCTACTTCTTCTGTTTACTTGCTGGACTCTTATGATTTATGGCATGCTAGACTTGGACACGTTAACGTGAATTCTATTAAAAAATTAATGAGATTGGGAAACATTCCTAAAACTGATAAGTTCCCAAACTCAAAATGTGAAACGTGTATTGAATCTAAGTATGCTAGAAAACCATTTCCACATGTTGATAGAACTACTTCAGTTTTAAGTTTAATACATTCTGATTTATGTGATTTAAAAGGATATGTTACCCGTGGTGGAAATAAATATTTTTTAACTTTCATTGACGATTACTCTCGTTATTGTTACATTTATCTTCTTAAGAGTAAGGATGAAAGCTATTCAAAATTTATTTCATATAAAACTGAAGTAGAAAATCAGTTAGATAAAACCATTAAAATTTTAAGATCTGATAGGGGAGGAGAATATTCAGGTGAGCTTGATAAATTTTGTGCTGATAATGGTATTATTCATGAGACTACTCCACCATATTCTCCCCAATCTAATGGTGTAGCTGAAAGGAAAAATAGAACTCTAAAGGATATGGTCAGTTCAATGCTAAACTCTTCTGGATTACCTTTTAACATGTGGGGAGAAGCACTTCTTACTGCATGTTATATTCTTAACAGAATTCCCAGTAAGAAAAATGATAAATCCCCTTATGAATTGTGGAAAGGTAGAATACCTTCATATAAATATCTTAAAGTGTGGGGGTGTTTAGCTAAGGCATCTATTCCAGCACCTAAGAGAACTAAACTTGGTCCAAAAACTGTTGATTGTGTATTCATAGGTTATGCTTTTCATAGTAATGCCTACAGATTTTTAGTAATTGACTCTAAAAATATTTTGATTGAAAAGAACACAATTTTTGAAACTAGAGATGCAGAATTTTTTGAAAATAGATTCCCTTTTAAAGAAAAATCTGCAAGACCAAGTAGTTCTCTTAGTGTTCCTCCTAGTGTTAGAGAAGAGCCTATTGAATTAGAAGAAGCTGAAGTTAGGAGAAGCAAAAGACCTAGGACTGCTACTTCTTTTGGTCCTGACTTTCTAACATACTTAGTAGAGGATGATCCTAGTACATTTGTTGAAGCTATGTCTTCACCAGATTCTATATTTTGGAAGGAAGCTATAAATAGTGAATATGATTCCATTATGTCTAATAACACTTGGGAATTAGTAGACTTGCCTAGAGGATGTAAAACCATTGGGTGTAGATGGATTTTTAAGAAAAAATTGAAACCTGATGGTTCAATTGATAAATTTAAAGCAAGACTTGTAGCTAAAGGCTATAAACAAAAAGAAGGAGTTGACTTCTTTGATACATATTCACCTGTTACTAGAATTACCTCTATTAGGATGTTAGTTGCAATTGCTTCATTGCATAATCTTATTATACATCAAATGGATGTCAAGACTGCCTTTTTATATGGAGATTTAGAAGAAGAGATTTATATGGATCAACCTGAGGGATTTGTGGTAGAAGGCCTTGATGATAAAGTATGTAGACTTCGAAAATCTCTTTATGGCCTTAAACAAGCTCCTAAGCAATGGCATGAGAAATTTGATACTGCCTTGACATCTAATGGTTATGTGATAAATGAAGCAGATAAATGCATATATAGCAAATTTGTGGGGGATTGTGGTGTTATAATTTGCTTATATGTGGATGATATGCTAATAATGGGAACTAGTTTAGATGTGATTAATAAGACTAAACAGTTTCTGAAAAAGCACTTCGAAATGAAAGATTTGGGTGTTGCTGATGTTATTCTAGGGATTAAAATAGTAACACATTCCGAAGGAGTTACTTTAACCCAATCACATTATGTAGAAAAAGTCCTTAAGAAGTTTAACCAATATCATTGTATTCCCGTGTGATTAATAAAACTATCAGTTTCTGAAAAAGCACTTCGAAATGAAAGATTTGGGTGTTGCTGATGTTATTCTAGGGATTAAAATAGTAACACATTCCGAAGGAGTTACTTTAACCCAATCACATTATGTAGAAAAAGTCCTTAAGAAGTTTAACCAATATAATTGTATTCCCGCTAAAACACCTTATGATGCAAGTCATCATTTGAGAAAACATTCAGGTCCTAGTGTTTCTGCTTTAGAATATGCTAGGGTGATCGGCAGTCTCATGTATCTCATGAACTGTACCAGACCTGATATAGCATATGCCGTCGGTAGACTTAGCAGGTATACTAGTAATCCTAATAGTGAACATTGGGATGCTCTCATTCGAGTCTTGAGGTATTTGAGATACACTATAGATTGGGGAATACATTATACTAAATATCCTGCTGTACTTGAGGGATATTGTGATGCTAATTGGATTTCAGATACCAATGAAACTAAATCTACAAGTGGCTATGTTTTTACATTAGCAGGTGGTGCTGTATCTTGGAAATCCACTAAGCAAACCTGCATTGCGAGATCTACTATGGAATCAGAGTTTATAGCATTAGATAAGGCAGGTGATTGTACTTGAGGGATATTGTGATGCTAATTGGATTTCAGATACCAATGAAACTAAATCTACAAGTGGCTATGTTTTTACATTAGCGGGTGGTGCCGTATCTTGGAAATCCACTAAGCAAACCTGCATTGCGAGATCTACTATGGAATCAGAGTTCATAGCATTAGATAAGGCAGGTGAAGAGGCTGAATGGTTAAGGAATTTTCTTATGGATGTTCCTTTGTGGTCCAAACCACTTCCAGCTATCTATGTCCATTGTGACAGTCAAGCAGCTATTGCAAGAGCTCAAAATTCATCCTACAATGGAAAGTCTAGACATATTCGTAGGAGGCACAATACTGTGCGTCAGCTGCTTAAGGATGGGGTTATAGCTATTGACTATGTGAAGTCAAGTGATAATATTGCTGACCCATTAACAAAAGGATTAGCTAGAGAGCTAGTTCAGAAAACATCGAGGGGGATGGGGCTAAAGCCTATTACAAATTAGATCACCTATAATGGAAACCCAACCTTGCGATTGGAGATCCCATGGATAAGGTTCAATGGGATAACAAAGTTATTGGAGTGATCTGTGGGGGTACTACATTGAATTTATTTCAAACCCCTCCCTATGATGAGTAGTACAAACTGTATTGATTAGAGGATGAGCTAATGCTCTTAATGCTTTCTATAGCTGATATTCAGTGGGGTGTTTAAATACAGTGCATCCTTGATAGAAGCACCTATTTGAGTGTGGAAGTGGGGCCGCTTCCTATGAGAATTAAGGCTAATTCTCTAGAGCACTCAAAGAAACCAGGAAAGTTCACGGCCGAAATGAACACAACCG